CATCATGATGTTTCTATCAATAATGGTGTTCAGATACCACTAGAGTCACTCGAAATCTTAAATTGAGAGTTAGCCGGATTGGTGGAGTTCAAGATCAGTGAGTTCTTCGTTTTGTCTTCTCTTTTTCCTTTTTCTGGTATTTCTTAATTGTGTGGCTTCGTGTTTAATTGACTTGGATTGTTGTTTGTTTAGGGTTAGATTTCAGTTTATTTTTCTCTCTGTTGTCTTATTTTGAATTCCAATATCCAGTAGTATGAACTCATTCTTTGGTTGATTAATATGTTTCACACTGATTTTGGTTGTTAATAAGTGCTAATCCGAAAATTAGTTGTTAATTCTGATCTCATCATTATTTTAGCTGCCAGTTTAATTTTGTTTGATTGATTTAAATTTGCCTTAGTAATTCTAGGTGTTAGCTTAATTGTTGTTTTTGAATCTGTCATAGTATATGTTATAGTTTCTAATTCTTGGTTATTTGTTCTAATCGATCTTATTTGGCTATTGTTTGATTTCTGATTTTTAGCGTTCGATTTGTTAGTTTTGATCAGTTTAGTCTAATTTAGTGTAAATTCAGTAGTTGCATTGGTAGTTTCATGCTTAAGGATCAGTTTAAGTCTTGTTTTGCTTAGCTTTAGGTTCAGTAAATTTCAAAATAAACTAAGGGTAGCATAGTCATTCCATAAATAGAAAAACATGCTAGAATTTCCTAGAAATTTCTAGAATAGGACTTTAGTCCTAATTTCAGAAAGTTAAGTTGTTTACTTGAGAAGCAAGTCAATAAGTAGAGGACTAATCTGTAAATAAAATAAGGACTAAGAGGAAAACAGAAAATTGGGGGCTGCCCTCATCTTTGCCTATAAAAGGCAACTTCTAGTGCCTTGAATAAAAAGTTTGGAGCCATCAAATTCCCCCCAAAAGCTCTTCTCTGATTTTCAGATCTGAACTTGGAATTCAAACATTCAAAATCCAAAAAAAAAAACAACAAAAATAGAAAAAAAAAAAAAAACCGACTGTTTCATTAAAACTGAAGATGAATTTCAGCCTTTAGATACTGGTTTACATTTTTGTTCAGTTCTGGTAATTTGAAGGTTCAGAGGTATCTCTGTTTGATTTCGAGCAGTTTTGTGGGATTCAGTCAGTTTGTTTTTGGGTTATTTACTGGTTGCTGCATTTCTGTGGTCTTGGCTTGAGTTTTGTGAAGTTATTTGGGTTCAAAACATTCCAATTGTTGCTGTTAACTGCTGGATACCAGCTATTGTTACTGCTGCTGATCTATTCCTCCTTCTCATTTGTTTTTTCATTCGAATCCAGGTACACTTCGAGACTGATTTGATGTAGCATCTCCTGTTGAAAACGTGAAATGAAGTTGAAATCCAAAATTCTGATATTGCTTTGTTATTTTAACAATTCTGTATGTTTAGATGATTTGTTGTGATTTGGTTAGTAGTATCTTGATACTACTGTATACATAGTGGAACTGAAAACTGGACTGTGTGATTTGTACTTTGTGATTATCCATTTCTAGTCTTAATATGGTTTAGTATTGGTTTCATCTTAGCGTTGTGTTAAAATTAGACAATAGGGGCTACTGGAGTTATTTGCCATGCATTAGCATAAGTATAGCCTCATTTCAGTAATTAGTTTAATGTTCAATGTTAGCAAATAGGTTGAATTTGGGAAACTGATTGATAGATTCTTCCTTATGGTTAACATTTGTACACTCGAATTGTTGCAAGTAATTAGCATAAGTCAGTTGTATTAACACGCTCTTCACCTATATTAATATTTGGTAGTTTAATCCTGAAGTTGCAATATCTAAGTTTAGTAACGGTAGTTGTGGGTTAATAGGAATCAAAAGCAATTAAGGTAAAGCTGTTTCAAAACGCTCCAGTCATTTCAAACTGATTTGTAAGTATTATTAATTGGTAATTGTTTAAATTTTTTTGGGCAAATTCACAATTAAGGTGTAGTTAGTTATCCAATTGTTTTAAAATTTGGATTCGATATTGGTTTAAAGTATTACTGTCGCCTGGGCCTACCCTCCTCTTATGCCAGGCCCAGTTAACCCTTTCAAGGGAATGGCATCGAGGCCTGCCAGCTGCAATTGTTTAATAGCAAACTCGCTTATTCCATTAATTTGGACTTGGTTTGAAGGTCTCAATTCATAGTTTAGTATAACATAAGTTTGGGCTTTTGAGTTAGTAGCGGGTTCAAATTAAAAGGTTGTCCCTTTTGTTTGAATCCGGACTTGAACTCGAGGCCCTAAATGTATAATATCAATTGATTAGGACTTTTTCTTTATTCTTAGAAACAAAAAAATATAGAAAATCATAGTTGCTTTAGGTTTGGCCTTTATATAAAAGTGATGAGACGAGCCTCGCCGAATAAAATACAAATTGCGGGGCCCTCATCAATGCTTAATTAAAAATACTTAGAATT